TAACTGGACCATGCTGCTAACTGGACCATGTTGCTAACTGGACCATGTTGCTAAGATAACCTCACTGTCATCAGAACCACTCTGTCAATAGGACCATGCTGCTGTAGATTTATTTCTTTTTCACTTTTGGCACCTTGTTTTTATATTTTTGTTGCATGCTTTGAATAAATACCAGTTTATGTTAGTTTATGTTAGTATAGTTTATTTTAGTTTAGTTTATGTTGGTACTCACATTAAGCGTGTAAATCATAGCTATGAGAATCGTGATGCTGCTGTTCGGTGGATTGTTTTGCTCCGTTAGTGACTGGCGTATATCTTAGTTCTTTAGCATACCGTTTGATGTTCGTTTAGCGAATATCAGTTTGTATCTCAGATGTTTTTTAATGTTTCTTCTTACATGTGATATTTTTGCTTTTGTTTGATAGGACCCTGTGTACATAATCTCGTTCCACCTCGTGTACCACATGTGATGTGAATGACAATAGTCTTGACTTGTGTCGACACAACGCGGTTCATCTCTCTGAGTTCAGGACCTCTTTGTGTCTGAATGAATCAGGGGGTGACCACGTTCAGCTAAAAGGGCCGAAACTGAGAGGAAAATCAGCCGAAGTCCAAAGAAAGGCCTTCAGAAGTCCCGGAGAACTTTTTGAAAACCACTTGAATAGATTTCAACAAAGTCTGAATCACTGGAAGGAGAACTGAAGCACTGGATCAGTTGATTATTTTTCTTTTATCGCCCGAGTCTCTTGTGTTTTTTTTTTTTTAAAAGACGACGGGTCATGAAAAGAGAAAAAAGTTGAGCTTGAAGATTTTCTTTTGTTTGTTTCACAATTTTAAGATTAAAATAAAAATATCTGGTGAAAAATACGTCACCAGCAGTTTTTCCATGATAAAGTTATCGGATCGTTGACGCTTCGACCTGTGACTGGTCGTGCACTTTACTTTATGATTTATGTTTTTTTAAAGTAAAATCTCAGCTCACAGTAATTTATTTTAAACTCAACTGGAAACAACTTTTCTGAAACGGTTCAGGAGTTTGACCACAGAACAAGAACTACTCGTTTGGTCTTCAAACTTCAGAGGATTGGAGATTATTTTGAGCTCGGCTCTCTGAGACTCTTATTGTGAAGGACTGAAGGAAGTTCTGAAGGCGTAGTAAAGCATGTACTTGTACTTTTGTAGTTTACCCATAATCCTCACCTACAATCAGAATATAAAACAGCTGGATTCTCATGCATAGAGCGTCCTCTGACTTTAGTCTGGAAATATTTCATTTAACCTCTCAGATGTCTCAGATGCTTTTATTTTTTAGCTCAGACCTCCTGTAAGAACCTCTTCCTGTCTGTTTGTCCTTTAGTTCATCTGAGACAATGAAACAAGCCTGAATAACATTTGTCTTCTTCCTCTTGTCCTCTCTGTGTCTGTTTTTCCTCCACGCCTTCGTCCAGGAGTGGAACATTTAGTGCTTTACTTCACCGACTCAGCGCGGTACGGTAGCATCCCCTCTTCCTCCTTCACATCCTCTTCCTCTGTTTTCACACATCCTTCGTCCCGGTACTTTACATCAACACAAACGGTTAAAGCTGAGTTAATAACCCAGTAATGCCAGGGCTGTTTGGGTTGTTTCACCCATAATTCATCGCTCCGTCTCCATCCTGACGTGGCTCCTAAGCAGCTGGTGACGTTTCCATCAGTTCAGCTGAAACCTCTGCAGGCGATGAGCTCCTTCAGCTGCAGACGGAGCGGAGGATTCTGGTGAACGGGCTGACCTCTGTGCAGACGATGAGGCTTCACACCAGAGACTTGGTTCAGAACCGTAAATCCTGCCTCTGAAGATGATGTTCCTGCTGCTCTGACTTCTCCTGTGGAAGCGCTCCTGCGGTGGTTATGGTGTCGTCGTGGAGCGGGGGAATAAATTAACGACCGAGGAAGGTTAAAGCTGCCTTGTCCGTTTGTGTGATGTGATATCGTGAGACGGCAGCAGCTCTGAACCCACAAACCCTTCAACAAATCCTTTTCACTTCCTCTGCTGCCTGAGCAAAAGTTCACAGACTCTGTTATTAATGGCGGCTCTGAATCACCAGCCTGGTTAGTGTTTAATTCTTTATCGTCCTGCGTCTTGTTGCACAGATTTGAAATGAAACAAACTACACTAGATTGGGATTATTGTGACTTTTGGTAGCGGTACGCCACACGGACAACGTTCACTAAAATCTGGGGGGAAAACGTGTTTAAAATCTTTTGCAAACAAACTCACTCCGACTCTTTATGGAACATTAATAAATGAAACTTTTCGGTCTTCTTTTACTCCGCGTGTCTCTCGCTCTCTAGAAGTCACAGATTTCTCTCAAGTCTCCCAGAATTCAGAGCGAGTTCTTTGTTTAGCTCAAAATCTTCTTTTCAGCCTGTTTCTGTCTCTCTCTAATGAAGTCGGCTGTCAGGGAGTGACACACCGGTGTGTGGACATCATCGGCGTCAGAAGCCTTTGTAATGGGAGTGGGGGGAGGTACACTGGTGGGGGGGAGACACACTGGTGTCTGTGTGGAGGGGTGGGGTCTGTAGGTCCTGAGAGAGCATTCCAACTTTTTTCCTTTGAGAACTATGATCCAGACTTGAAGATCAACTGATGTTGACAAAATGCTTCTTGTATGAGGGGAACCATTAGAGCTGTACCAGAGAGACCCAGTGACAGCAGTGAGCAGATCCTAATGAGACCGTCTAAATCCAGATGGAAAGGTCTAATTGAGGTCATATTTTTAAGGTTGCTCATAAAGTTGGGTATAGATTATGCTTTTATATTATTTGTTGCGTATTGGTAGGTCAGGTCGTTGATGTCCCGTGGGTGGTTGTATGGAAGAAGCGCCGCACCGTCCTCGCTCTTATCTGCAGCTCGGGTGTTTCACGCCCTCGCTTTCCCAGCACAATAATGACACAATAATCAGAATAATAATCTGTGCTTTACTCCCATTTACAACACAAAACTAGAGCTGGATTATTTAGCTAATAATTTTCAGAGTAATTGGGTGTTTTGACAGCAGCTCGTTGCCTGCAGCTCAGCACTAAAGGCTCATGTTTATTCATTACGGTCACCGTTTTAATTGTTCGCTGAAGTGATGATGCAGCGTGGAGTGACATTAGTCATCTAACGAGCCCCTGGGGGCCAATCGGGGGGCAGTTTGGGCGGATCAGCACTTTGAGAAGGCGTCTTGTGTTCAGTACTGAGGAACAGAACAGTCTGAGGTGCCAAGACATGAGAGATCCTGAGGTTCGAGGACACACCCCACCTCGTGTTTTATTTACTTTGATGCATGTTTGTATTTTCTCCTTTTTTTTTATCTTTTCCTTTGAGTCGTGCTTCATTTCTGAGGGATGAACTGAAGCATCAGGCGAGAAAAAACCCGTCTGCAGGTCCTCCACCTGCCACCAGGTGGCAGTGTTCATCAGGAAATGTTCTTTGTTGCAGCTGTTTGTTCTCCAGATGTTTTGATTGAGTTTACAAACCTGTGAATGCAGCGTCACCCACACAGGACTCCACAGATTTTCTCTTTTGTTCAGGAACCCCAAATAGTCCTGAAGCTTAACTTTAGTCAGGATTAGGTAAGAATACAGACAAAATATGAACATTTTAAATCTCTATTCACTATTGGTTTTTCTAAAAACTATAAAAATGAATTAGTCTCTCGAGCTGCTCAAATGAACAAAGTATTTATCACAAACTCACAATGACTTTCACCAGTTAGCTGACGAGCGTGCCGAAGAGTTGAATAAATTAAAACTAAAAACTTAAATTTAGTCAAATCTGCATCGTGATAGAAATGTGCAAACTTTACATTTAGCATTTTATCAGAAGCTGAACTGAAATGAAAAGAATCTAATGCAGGGAAGAATTGTTTATTCTCTTTATTGTATGAAATGCACGTGAAATGGCCGGTGATCAGTTTAAAACCCTCTGATCTCCTCTCTCTGCATGCGATAAATTCTGTATCAGAGTTTTTTGGATTATTTCTGCACCGTCTGCTCACAAACCACCAGAACCTTTTTTACTTTCAGACGAGCTTTTCTCTGCAGCAGCTGACGTTTGGTTCTGTTTTCAGTCACAGGTACTTCACTCCTCCGATCAGAGAGACCAGGAACCCCTGATGCAACAAGCTCCGCCTCCTCCAGGTAACCCCACCCAGCCTGAAACACCTGCAGACAGACTCCTCCCCTCATCTAAAACCCCTGGCTGCACGTCCCAGAGAGCAGGGGGTGATGGGAAAACTCAGAGGAAGGTGGAAGAGGAGGAGACGAATGAGAGAAGAAGCTTCAGCAGATCCCTGCTTCCACCGCAGCCTTCCAAGCTCCGCCTCTTCCTGCCTCACACCTGCAGCTCTGCCCCAGGCTCTTCAAAGATGACGCCGTTGGCCCCTCGCGACCCCGACAGCGGGAAGTTCAAAGCCTTCAACTGCGGCTCGTCTCGCCTCCCCAAACCAAAGAGCCACTGAGGCGGTCTGAGATCAGACCTGCGGCTCTGACTGACCTCTGACCTCTGACCTCTGCCTGCAGCCCTGCTGGACCCCTCACCTATTTATTGTTCTAATCGGCGCTCCGCTTCGTTCTTGCAGCTTCTCTGACACTCGTAGGACGAGATAAAGGAAGTAAAGATTTAACAGATACGGTAAAAAAGCCTCTTCAAGGCGAAGAATCCTGGGCGTCTTGGTGAAATAAAGATTGTGCCTTGGATTTGGAAAAACTCTCACCTCATCAGCTGAGTGTGAAATATTTAAATATTTATTATTTAAGGTCCACTGAACATTTCCACTGGCAGCTCGCTGTGCAGACTGAAACCTGAACGTTTGACTTGAACAGATTTATCAACGTTGCTCTGAAACTAAACTAACAGAAGTAAAATGTTTGTTCTCTGGGCTGAAGTTCTGCTCGGACTCTTCCTCCATCTCTGACGTCACACAAACACCTTCTGTCCATCATCTCCATTTCCTCTTTGTTTTGATGAAACTTCTGGTCTGTTCAGAGGGAAGCGTTCACCTGCTGCTGACCAGAGGAAAAACAACAAATTATGAATTAATCCAAGAGTTTAAATCGATACGTTGGCCTCTTTGAAGCATGCGTCTGTGTAAAAGTTATAAAGAACATCTTACCTGTTGCAGATAGCTTATTGAAGGACCTCAGGAGGACTGATGAGGGAACATCTAGTCCAGATTAGACTTTGGTCTTAAAACGGCACCAGTCTAAACTTTCACAGATTCTGCTGAATAAAAGTTAACACAGTTTGATGTTCTGCATCACGTTGTTTTTTAGAGCAGAGGTGGCAGCGTCGTGTGCTGTAGCACCTCTGGAACATCTGGACATCACATTTGGAATTCACTTCTTACTATTATTTTTCAAACTATCAACATTAAAACAAAACTACTAAAGTTTGCATGAACTGCTGAGAACGTTTGGAGACTGGAGTTCAAAGTAGATGACCACATTGGAGCAGTGGTTAGAGCTGCCGTCTCACAGCGAGAAGGCCGCAGGTTCGCCTCCTGGTCTTTCTGGGGGGAGGTGCATGTTCCCACAGTGGGTTTTCTCCTGGTTCTCTGGTTTCCTCCCACAGACCCAAACCTCCATATTGGGTTTGTTGGTAACTCTAAAGTTGTCCCGACGTGAGAGGGTGAACGGTTGTCTCCAGGTGTCCCTGTGATGGACTGGAGACCTGTCCAGGTGTCCCTGT